GCAACGTTCTAAACTAGTGCCTTTATAGTCAGAGCTGTATTGTTCCTAAGGCAAAATACGCAAGAGCCCAGGGCGCCAGGTTGCAGAGAGCAGGCGCGAGACGCGCGTACCCGTACCCAATACCAACTGCCAGTAGAGTGGCGCCAGTGGCGCGGTAGGCACGGTGGCGCCTATGGGGTGTGTGTCTAGGGCGCTCACTAGGTTTAATACGCCCCTACTTATAGGTAATACGGTGTTTGACAACATTCAAAATACTCTACAAAATATAGATATTTTACGAGACAATAGTCTAAAGAATACCACTTCTACTTTATTTTAACAAAATAATGTATATTATTTACATATTTCACAAAATAAAAATGAAGTTTTTTTAAATAATTTCACGTGAATCGAAACGCTCTGTGATTGGTGGTAACACTCGTGACGTCACACGCCAGCGAACAGGTGTTTTGCGCTATTGATTGTCGTTGGAGTTTACTGTGTTTTGGCTGTAATTTCTATTTGTAAACTATTTTCGAAGAATTACTTGTTACTACTTGCTACTACGGACATTGTTTATAACTAGTGTTATTAATATTAGTTTACCATACTAAAAATGGACGCAAATTTTGTGCAAGCCGATAGCAGCAACTTACCCAGGATAGACGCTTTAATGGTTGCACTTTTTTTTAAGAATAACGCTGATTATTATTCATCTGAACTAAAAAATGTGAAAACAGCAGTGTAAGTACCAAAGTGGAATCTATTTACATATTATTTACCCTTGTAAACTTATATGTTATATGTTGTAGAAAAAAATTCACGCGGCATATTTTAATCATTTGTTTTCATATATAATAAATGCTATTGTTGCATTATAATACCTTTATGTCGTTATATAATATTATTCCCGTATTAATTGATTTTAATAAGCCTTAATTTTTAGGTTAGGAACTTAGAGTCACATCTCTTATGTGGTTTTTGCTTTTGTTTACAGGTCTGCAAGGGAATCTTATGGTGACGACGCCATTGGCTATGTGCAAATCAAACGGGAGCAAGGAGTTTGCACAATGAAATGCAAAATATGCCCAGAGCATAAAGTTCGGTCAAAGGCATATAATGTAACAATGATTATCAATGAAGAAGATAGTGAAGTCATTAGCTGCCAGTGCCTTGACTGTGCTGCTTCAGCTGGGGGATGCAAGCATTCAGTTGCTTTCCTGATGTGGGTCCATCGTCGCACTGAGGAACCTGCATGTACTTCAGTAGAATGCTACTGGAAAAAACCTATTCTATCGCGAGTAGGGACCACTATGAAATATATCACTGTTGAGCAGATGTGTGAGAAAGCAGTGCCTCATAGACCAAGTTCATCTGAACTATATAATGAATTCATTTCTGTGGCCAAATCTAGAAATATAACCAAATGTGAATTACTTAAATATCAAAATGATTTTAAACATAAAGATGTCATGCAGTATTCATTACACTGTTTTTTGATGAATCAATCAGAGGAAACTAGTGCTGATGTTGATAAATTTGTTGAAGTGATGAAGACAAATATCACAGAGGCTGAAATAAGTGCCATAGAAGAAGCAACGAGAAATCAAGATAAAAGCAGTTTGTGGTATGAGATGCGTTATGGCCGTATCACAGCTTCAAAAGCATATCAAGTGAGTGTTTGCCGGACACCAGAAGGGTCATTGATTGCTACTGTGATGGGTGCAAAAATACCAGATACGCTAGCAATGAAAAGAGGAAGAACTTTAGAAAAGGCAGTCCGAAAGAAAGTTGCTTCCATATTGAACAAAAAAATAAGTATATGTGGACTTTACGTATGTAATGAGAGTCCCATGATTGCAGCATCTCCTGATGGCCTAACAAAGGATGCTGTTATTGAAATAAAATGCCCTACTCAGGCTAAAACCAAAGAGAACTATATAAAAAATGGAGTAATTACAGAAAAATTTAATGCACAGGTGCAATTACAAATGCATGCAACTAGCATGAAAAAATGCTATTTCTGTGTTGCAGATAGCAAATTTGAAGAGAACCAAAAGGTGGATATTCTTTTAGTGCATTATGATAGTGCTTATACCCATAATTTACTGCAAAAGCTGGTTACTTTTTGGAAAAATAATGTTTATCCAGTTTTGTACCGTAGCACTAGGGTGACAGATTAATAAATAAAAATGTTTTCTGTGCACATTGTTTTATTTATTTTTCAATAGGTATTTACATTTATTTATAAAACTTACAAATACATACACTACACTAGAAGTCCCCATGCCTTTAGTTTTTGCTACATTCATTGCTCTCAGTGAAAAGTGTGTTATGTAACATATCTATCCCAAGATGAAAGAATTTAACTAACTTTTATTTAATTTAACTAAATATGTGTACATAATAATATATAATAATACCTATGCACTGATTGTGATTTGACTTGTTTGATTAATTGTCTTGGCAAGCACTTTGAGCTGTGGTTAGTTGTTTTGGAGCCTATTCAATGCAAACAAACAACTTTCCTTCTTAAAGATAACATTCATACATCACATCCTTATCAGAGGTAGACAGAGCCAAAAGGCCACATTTAGTAAGATATTCTTTCTTAATTTTTTCTTTACTTAGTATTTCTAGGAAGATATAATATTAATATACAAAACATTACTTAATAAGAGAGTCTTGCAAATTTATTAAAGCACATGCAATAATAATTATATGGTCAATTATACGAAGTATGTTGGTGTTTATCACTGTATGTTGTTTTAGCATGTGGAATTCTCTCAAGCGCCTTATTACTCTTTCCACATGAATTCGCAGGCTTGCAATTATTTTAGTTTGTCGGACTTCAGATTTGGATAACTTTACACCAGCACTTACACTAGGCGGCCGTAATAGTTTAATGCCTTTACTATGAAGTATTTGTTCTAGGTGTTTGAAGCCTCTGTCCGCTAAGATGCAAGTTCCAGGTTGTAATTTATCTAGAAAGTCAGTGTTTTCTACTATTACAACATCACTCGTTCTGCCCCCAAAGCCTTGAGAAACATAGTTGACTAATCCATTAGGAGTGCAGGATATTAAATACTTCACAGTATTTCCCTTCTTGTACTCTGACCATGTCAGAGCCTGGTGTAGAGCCTTAGATGGTTTTTGTATATCAATTTCAAGACAATCAATAATGCAGCTGACATTGTGATAGTTATGTCTAAATGGTATTGGAAGATTTCTCTTTGTTAAGTTACTGTTTAAATTTACAATAAATGGTCTCAAAAAGCTACTCAATATGGGTATGTTATTTAAAAATATTTTACTGGCATATGATAGTGACATTCCAAAATTATCCTCTAATTCAGAAAATGTGCTATTTAGTCTAATTTTTTTCAAGCATAGCAAAATGTGTTCTACTTTTATATTTGTGTGTTTGTGCATTAACTGAATAATAAAATAACAATGTTCAGTAATACCAACATACATTAATGGTTTTTTTTTAATTAAATGTAGGGTATTTTTGAGGCACTGCAGTTGATGAACAGTGGAATTAGTATCCGTAGTATAACTATCAGAATCTGTAATCTTTGATGATGTAGGTACAAAAGGTGAAGAATAACCACTCTTAATGCTTGAAATTTCACTATCTGATTTATCACGTTCTAAGGCAACAACTTCTTTAGCTGCTTTTACAACTCCTGACTGTAACCGTTGAAGACTGCATTGTTCATATTTAAAAGGTGAAGTGTAACTCGATGTTGTGGACACTTTGAATGGTGATGTCGAAATACTTTTATTTTTGTTTCTAGTTTGTATAGCTTTGCTCCTATAATGCACATTTGATTTCATTGACACTTGGACAGACTTTTCTACAGCAATTATAGGATCTGTACACATTCCTTTATCTGCAGTCCTTGGTAATACTGAAAATACAAACATCCAACATTTATTATACAATCTTACTGATTCAATTTGTAATGGAAAATAAAATTTAGTTGTACCATACCTTCAGGCTCAATAACGTTTTGTGGCACATAATTGTCTTCTTGAAGCATTTCGGCATGGGTTTTAGTGGCACTTAAACTTTGTAAGCATTCTGTGACGATATCATTTTTTTGTCTCTTTATGGGCAGGTCTCGAGAAGGTCCACCAGACAACCGTCTTTTGCGATCCTCTTGACAATCGAATTTTGTTGGCACAGCTTCATCTGCCAAAAGCATCTTCTGATTGAAGCCCATTTTGTACATCATGTAGTTCTTTATGGCTGTTTCCAACTGAAATTCACATTGATATCCATTAATAAATAAAGTAAACAAGTGAAGTATTCATGTTGTAAAAAGTTATTTAGACTAAGTTTGACAAGACTAATGAGTAGCTCAGGAAACAAAAATAACATTAGAAAATAGATAGGTACTATCTATTAAGTATAAAGTTAAGTGCTACTTACATTAAAGTGATCTTCACACATAAAAATATTTGTACGCATCGAGACACTGTTTGGCTCTCTTCGCGCCAACCGTAACCACAATTTACGTTTTTTGGGATTCGTAGGAACAGATAAAAATACTTTTTCCGGTGTTTTTATTGATGTATTTGTACATTGTGGCACTACACACCATTTATAAGACATAATTTCTAATAAATACTGAAATATGATTTAATAACAAGCAATACCTTTGAATATTCAAGCAAGATGGATTGTTGTACTAGCGTGTGACGTCACACGCGTCACGTGACTCGAGCCATTACAATGAAATCGTTTCTGCCGCGCTTTTTACAATTTAAATTGTAACTTCGATGTTTATCCTAAATACTGTAAATTTTGCAGTAAGATTAATTTTGTACGTATATTATATACTAAAACAACCATTTAAAACGATTTCCAAAAATTGTCAAATACCGTATTAGGTACGTTTGTCTTTCCATGAACGCATCTGTAATCAATCAATCTTGGTATTCTTGGGCAAAACAATACCGTTCCCTGATAAGCATCGATTACTGTCATAACTGTCAATGTCATGTAAAATATAAATGATACCTAACGGATTGACTGGTTGGAGTTGTAAAGTTCTTAAGTCTTATCATTATGAATTTATTATCAAGACCAGAATAACAAGTGTGAAGTAGTTATGATACGTAAGTAAATGAGTTTTCTCAAGATTGTGTTCATATCGGTGGCACAAGTAAAAACCGTCGCATTTATTGCATTTGTGAATTGCAAAACATATAGTCGTATTATCGATGTAAGGAAAAAGTATAGACACAATGTCAAAAATTGTAGTAATTGGATCTTGCGGTGTTGATTTTACTACGTACGTACGATTTATATGTTGTGTTTTCAAGTTATACTATCACTTTGTTTTTAAAACAGTTGAGAATACAGATAAAAGTTACATAATATAACTGATATAGCATCATAAACTTTAAGAAATGTGACTGCAAAGTTAATTTCTATATTGTCCATATAAATAATTATGATTTGAGTTTCAACCTAAATTATTCAATATCAAAAGATAATATTTTAAAAACGAAAGACAGAAAAAGGATTGCGTCATATACTTACTTTATATTGTGTTATAGATATGCACCAAGATTGCCCAAACCAGGGGAGACACTCATTGGTAACAAATTTACAACAAGCTATGGAGGCAAAGGTGCCAATCAATGTGTCGCAGCTGCTAAGTTGGGAGGGAAAACCTCCATGATATGTAGGGTAAGTTTCACCGTTTACCCTTCAGTTTTGTGGGGAAAGTAAAATTTATTTTATTCATATTTGTAGAAGATACTATTTATAACATATTATTATTTTTACTTTTAGCTCGGAAATGATCAGTGGGGTGACAAATACAGGGATAATTTGGAACAAGTTGGAGTAGATACTACTCATGTCAAAATTACTCCAAATGTAACAACAGGTATTGCTCAAATATCAGTTGCAGAAAGTGGAGAAAACCAAATTGTGATTGTACCAGGAGCGAACAACTGTCTAAGTAAGGAAGATGTTAAAAATTCCGCTGATCTGATCACTAATGCGGAAGTACTTATTGGTCAGTTAGAGACTCCTTTCGAAACTACATTAGAAGCTTTTAAACTGGGCAAAGGAGTAAGTGGAAACAATGAATTATGTCAATTAATCTTTTTTTAATGTTTTATAACATTATATTTCATTACTTTTCTAGATAAAACTTCTGAATGCAGCACCAGCAAGATCAGACATTACAGAAATATTGCCTTATTGTTCTATACTTTGTGTCAATGAACCTGAAGCTTCTTTACTAACCAACACTGAATTTGATTTTAAGTAAGTAACTATGAAATCTTAGAACAACAATGACTCATTATTATTCTAGTTGCAGAAACAATAAATTTTCTTTACAGAAATGCAGTGGCTATCCTGAAACAATTACTTGATACTGGATGTGAATCTGTGATCATTACTTTGGGACCTGAAGGAGCAGTTTACATGTCCAAAATTGATCAGCAACCAATACATGTCTTCAGTGAGCGGGTCAATGCTATTGATACTACAGTATGTATTTTTCTGTGTTAAAGTGTGTACACTTTAACACAGAAAAATGTGGCCCTAAATTTGTGCCTAAAAGAGTAACCACTCTATTGACCCATCATTACCAAATAATTATATACACTCAAATAAGTATGATATTACAGCTTTGATGTTGCAGTGTCTTATACTTATCATATTTTATTTATGTACAAATACCTAATTAAATTCTTTATATTTAAATAATATACAATAATTAAATTTGTTTTATGTGTAGGGCGCTGGCGACGCATTTGTGGGAGCATTGGCAACATATTTAGTGACATATAAGGATAAACCTATGCATCAAATCATAGGTGCTGCATGTCAAGTGGCTACAATGTCTGTCACCAAAGAGGGCACCCAAACGAGTTACCCGCGCAAATTCGACGCCTTCAAAAAGGACTATAAATATGCTCTATTGTAATTTACAAATTGACAAATAAAACACTCCTGGAAGTTCTATACTATTTTATTAAACAAATTAATCGTAAGCTAAATTCTTAAAATATTTACAATGTAAGCAAGCAAGTTTTTACCATTGGTATTTAAAACAATTAAATATGCACTAATAAAGATGTGTAGTTATTTATTAACTTTTTAACAACTTTTCTAATTCCTTCTTAGGTATCAACCTCATAGAAAATTTAAGAACACATGGTTGCAAAAAATCTGATAAAACCAAAATATTCTTTGATAAAAACGGCCCTTGATCAAGTCTGAATGTGTAATTGTGAATGGTTAAAGTCATCAAAATGGTTTACAATTTTTGACATTGAGTCTTATTACGTTTCGTACCTATTGCAAACAATCAGATTCATGAAATCTGGCAACCCCAGCTAATTCTCTACTCAATACTTAAGATAGCGAAAATAATGTAGGACAACCTGTTACTTCCTAGCTACCTACTAAATACCTATACCTAATTATATGTCAATACTTATTATGTAACTATGTACTACAATAACTTGAAAAAGTATCTGCCCACTGACTGCCCAAACATTTTGTTACCTTGAGTGAAAAGAATATTGAATAGGGTTCAAAATTCAAATCATCTCAAGATAGCATTGAAAATACAACTTAAATTAATACAAATAAATTACAAACTAATTGCTATTAGACGATCTTCGATACTTACTAAACAGAGTACCTAGAACTGTCAAATCTTACCCATGCCACTACGAAAATACCTACGTAGTGTCTTCTCTCCCTCACGCATCAAAATTATCTATATCTAGGACGAATATTAAATCGAATATTATCGAATTTGGAAGCGAGAGCCTTAGAGGGCCTTAAAATAACAATATGCGCCTTATGTGGCAAGCTATTTTATTTCCAGATGTACCGTACGTACCCCTTCTAACAATAAAATCAACAAAATTTACGTTCGTTTCTTAATTAATTAGTAACGTTTAGTGCATAGATAAGTATAGGATTTGATAAGTCAAATCAATAATGTAAGGGTTATGCACACGGTGCCGTCACCCACCGCACCGACGCCGCACAATTTACTACGTTGTAGGTGCGAGTCGCGCGAAGGCCGCCATCACGCCGCCGCCGCGCGCGTACCCATTGTTTGATTCATTCTATTACTAGCCGCGTACGAACATGCGCACGATATGAATCAAACAGAGAGAACAAGCTTTGCGGTGACGGCATCGTGTGCAGGAACGTTGACGGTAAACGGGTGGCTGGTTATAACACGCTGTCATACGTTTATCGTCCGACACCAACCACCTAAATCGAAAGAGCCTCTATATTCAACGTTGAATTACAAACATAATTATTACGCCTACTACCCACAGTCTCAAATAATGACAGTTACGACAGCACTTAATCAGCATTAAGCACAGCTGTCGTAACTGTCTTTATTTTATCAAACACAGCTGGTAGATAAAATTTTACAAATATTTATTAATAATTATATTAAAATACATCGATAAATTATGGGTTTAATATTGCCGTTATTCGGCATGTGTAATATTTCTACGTAGGTAACTAGAAAAGATTTTAAATAATTATGAGGAACAAAATCTGTATATTACGTGCGTCCTATATTATAACTTTTCACAACAGGCCCAATAAACAAATTATTTTTGTATATTATATCTTTACAATAACATCGTGTCGTGTCAGTCGTTTATTGTTTTAGGTTATGGACACACTGTTGGAACCGCACTGGGCCCGCACCTTATCTTATAAGAACCTTATGTGCAGAATTAAGTTTTAGAGACGTTGAAACAACACGAAACTATTTAAATTTGTTTTCGATTGCGTAAGAACCGATTTACACACACCGCAACTAAGTATACTAACAAAATGGTCACCTATAATTAATATAATATAACATCTTAGTCTAAGATTACCCCATGGGGTCGCTTCTGAAGATAAGTAAAACACCATACATATTTTTATGGCTGAGTTGCTCACTGTAAATCAATGAGTTACTTACAAATGATTGAAGCACCAAAATGTCAGTGGTTTTTATGTGTGTTTAAGTAATGGTACCAGTACCACGTTACCAGACATGAAAATGACACATATCCTTCGCGTCAATGTTTTTAATCTTTAAGTGCCACAGTCGTCATTTTAAGATAGGTACTGTGTCCGCTATTTTTTCAACGTCCTTGCTGCAAATCTTAGATTTCTTCGAAGGAGGTTTTCAGTAAGTGTCTTCATTTAATTTAGACTTGAACCAACTTGTAGTTGCGTAAATTGAAAAGTCAGCTAAATACATACAATTTTCTTTTTTATAGGACACAAGCAAGAATATTATAAAAAAGGCGTACACAGTCTCTTGGAACAATGATTGCGGCACCCGACTACTATATACTTATACGCAAAACATAAACACATTCGATACGAAGGACATCTGTAAGCGTGGTAAACCATTACACACGCACACATAAATAACCCACCAACATTTTGGTGTTTCAATCATTTTAAGATGACATTATGTTCGCCTTTCTATCAATATCTTTAGATACAAGATTATAGTTTAAAATAGATACGTTTTTTCATGGAACTAATTTTCATCAACAAGTTTCCACTTAGTATTTGTGTAAACATCGCGTGGCGTACGTAGTGTTTCTATAAAACTTGTATGTATACGTAACCGGAAAATATAAAAATTAATCCCTCATATGGACTCCACCAGTTAATTAATTATGGGTTCCTTCCTAATGTTCGCTCGTCTGCAGTCTTGCAAATTTCATTGTGGCAACCCTATGCGTACCAGGGAAACTGGGACTGTCCTCGTATGAAATTTAATATCACTTCGAATCATGACACTCGGATAAGAAACTTCTTGATGTTATAAGTTCAGAATAATTAAATGTCATTTATATTCATGATAAAGATTTATTTCGAGAATTTTATTGCAATTCAACATACAAATTTTAAATATATTTATAACATTTATGTACTTTGTTGAAACCTAATTCGTCATAATATTAGGTACTGTGTTTGTAGCATAGAACTTTACTTACGAGATAGGTACATAGCATAGGTATTCAGGATGAAGCAGGCATGGTATAGTTGCCAGCATAAAATAATTAAAATTCTACTGGTCAATTTACCATAATTGGATTACTTAGTATTTTGTGAAAAGAAATAAATATTGAGATAATATATATGAACAAAATAATTATCAATATAATTTAAATTTCAAAGATTTTACCCAGGTTATTTTTCATGAACCTTATATGAAGTACAGAATGTTGCCCTGTTTAAATATAAATTCTAATCATTTGAATATAACTGAAATAACATCTCTAGGCTATTGCATAGATATATAAGTGGGCTATTGTAACTACCTACTCAAATTTATGAATGTAATAGAAATAAAAAAAAATAGTCGAAAAATTAATAGAAAGAATGTGGTAATATTGATTTAAGTTGATTTTTCTTTATTTTTATTATGTTAACCATGTCTTGGGCAACAATTATATTTTATATCAGGTTTTTTGGGTTCAAAAACTTAATCCTTACTTTCAGCTAATGGGGTTGTCACCAGTCAGAAATATTGAATTCAATAACTTATATGAACATACACAATTCACCAACTAAATTAATGTTATTTTAATTTCTAAAAACTAAAGTAATGAAAATATAATTATTGAAATCAATAAATTGCAGTTATATTTATATCAAGACTAACAAAAGACAGGTAAAGTTGTTTTAATAAAATTATGCCATGCCATATATCACTATCTTGTTATTAAAACTTGTTGATTTATAGACATTGCCAGAGTATTGCCAAGCTTTGGATGACAAATTACTTAGGGTACCAGTACCAGTTGATTGTTTTATTAACTAAAAGCTCGAAAGTATTATATACCTTCATTTTTCTGAACCAGGAAGACTGTTAAGCAATTACATATTATCTCTGTAAATGACAACTTAAAATTATATATTCCTTGAAGTATTATTATACCTGATTTAACATCTTTTAAGAGACAAGTAACAAGTTATTGACCTAAGGATATATTTATTTCATAGTTGTGTTGTCAGTAACGTCATAATAAATATTGCAAATTGAATCATGTAATACACTTAACAGTTTTTCAGTCATTTCCTAACTATCTAGGTAGGCACTAATTTTTAAATGTTGAAATGATTCAACTATGTTTAGATTTGTGTAAGTATATGAATATATTTACATAATATTATAGGTATTTCTATTCTCTCGAATAACTCAATGCAATACATAGGGACTATCTAATTCACTCTCATTTACTATTTGCAAAAGCACTTTTAAGTCTTCTAAACTTGTGATATATTTTGGTGCACCTAAGAATTCAACCGATTTTTCTGAAATTTCAATACAGTACTTTAAATTTTTTGGACACGTTACAGACTTTGAACATGCACCCTCTTTAGTTTTTTTAAACACAATATGTGTGATTTCCTCCTTCATAGATAAAAAGTTTGTTTCCTTACTTTTAACTTTATCATTACACTGATTTTTATCCTCAATACAGACATCTGTTACCTTAGATTCAGTTTCCTTCATTTCTATATCAGTAGCTGAAACAGAATTTATATTTTCTCTTATTTCAACAGCTGTTTTATCTTCTGTTTCTTCATTTTCTGGTACTGGCTCATCTTGTTTAATTGGTAAGTGTTCTTCAATACCTTTTTGCAATGCTTCATCAAGAATGGAAGGACTATGCGGGTTGTCAATCTCTTCTGGCATCACCGAGTTATGTAAGGTGCTCTCACTGTTATTAGAAGTGTCATTATTAGTAGTTAATGTTTCTTGAATTGTGCTGAGTTGGTTAACATCTTCAATCAAATTACCCATACTAGTGTTGTCAACATCCATTGGTGTTGGAGCAGTCTCACATGTAGCATTTGTTTTACCAAGGAGCATTGCTTCCACATCACTAGATTCTAAATTAGATTTAAATTCAAGTGTATTACTTTGGTCAGTTGATTTACTCTCACTACTATTGTCATTCAGGATGTCCATTATTGATGGGAAGTCATCCACTTTGCTTTCTGTGACATCTTGTTTTTCCTCAGATTTTGCTATCGGTTTTTCATTGTACATGAGATCTTCTAGTTCTGCGGCTATCCTATCGTACACCTGATCATCTTTTGGTTCATCTTTTTTGGGAAAGGAATCTATACACCATTCTTCGGAAGGAAGTATATTCTCATCAATATCTGGTAATAAATCAATTAATGAAATTTTAAAGTTAATTTCATTATTATTGTTGTTACACAAGGGATCTTCAAATACAATGTTGTATTGTTTCAAGTTACTGCCGTTTTTTTGTTTCTTCTCTTCATAATTGGAATTTTTGTCTTTCAGTACAGGTTTTTTTAACCTGTTGTTTTCTTTTAATACATTTGTTGCGACTGGAGACGCAAGTTTGTTATTTCTCGTCTTTTTACTATTTAACACCTCTTTATCTGGTTGACTACAGGCTTTTCTATGGACAAGGACCATACCATTCTCAGTGTTTCTTAATTTGGCGTTCGTATTTGGCAAAGTCGAGTCAACATTTTGTTTCGTTTTAGGAGTTGTACTGCTTTCGTACTGTATTTTTACCTTGGTAAATTTGCCTAGTATCTTGGCAAAATCCATGCGAGTAACAACAACTGAACACTCGCGACATTTTCCTTCTTTATACAAGCGTTCCAGGCTTTTTGGGAGTTTTAAGGATTTCACTCTCCGGCTTTCACGTACTTTATTTGGAATCATTGTTGTAGAGTTATAACCTTATGCACTGTAGCTTTATTTATCCAATAATGTCCTCTAGCGAAATTGATATTGGACGTAGTCACATTTCCCGCGCAGAGAATAATATCACAATTACTGAACTTGTAATAACACAAACTGTTTTCTTACATTGCATTTGATAACCACACGAAGATTTAATACGTTTTATCAAAATAACGAATTACATTTGTTTATAAAATCAAAAACTCGTAGCAGGCGACACAAACACCACGATCAAATCCAACGCAAAAATGGCGTCGCCGTAGTGATGTGCCTGTGATGTTGTGATAGTTATGGTTGTGAAATTATTGCCTTATTATTCGATTAGATTTTTAATGTTACTATTATTTAAATTAGATAATTACTTTTAACTACTTAAGTAATTAAGGCACATCAAGTAAATTTAATATTTTTATAGTACCATCTAAAGAAAAAGATCAATTTTATAAAATAGAAAAATATTTATTCATTTTGTTTAGGTTGTTTAGGTTTAGGTAATATTTATTAACGTATTTTTGGATCAAGGAATTTTGGATTAGGTTTATACAAATTATAATAAAATATTTTTTATTACACATTTGTAGTGAACAATAAATTGATTCTATAAGAATTTATTGTATTGTTTCTAAATAACTAAATACGATTCTCAAAAATTTTACATCTCTGTATCCACAAAATCATAATAAACATAAACAAATAAGTTGTAAATCAGATTTATTGTATATTTTACTGATGATGATTACAGATGAGGACTCGACTCTCGACTAGTTTCAAGCCATACTAGAGGCTTATATTCATGAGCAGCATTCCGTGACCCGCGACACGGCGAGTGTCGTCGTCAAATAATTATGTGAGTAAGCAGAAAAACATAATAATTAATTGAATATGTCTTATGAAAGTTTTATTAACTATACCTATTATTAAATTACATTAAGGGATTGAGGACATAAGGATTGGGAAAGGGGGATGGGCTATGGGAGATGGAGGATCGGGCCTTCGTTAATCTCAATCATACGACGAAATACAATGTAACCGTTTCTGCAATAAAAGTGCGTCATTGCAATAAGCGCACATTAAAAGACTCACGCTGTACAAATAATTTAATAATTATAATATATGGTTAGGTACTTTACATAAAGGAATTACTTAATACATTTAGAGGCAGATGTTACCTTTAATTAAAGATATTTTTTTTATTTAATAATGCTGCTGGTCAGTTCTCTTTTGGTTTAAACAAATGACGAACAGGGTCTTAGACACCTCATTTTGATGAATAGTGATTATCTAGTTAGTTAAGCATGTTTAGCTAATTATGACCATTCAGTTTATCTTTATATTGCAAATTTTATTACTTTTCATCAGTACAAGTACTATGAGTTATTTTATTCTTATTAATTGTATCGTAAACTTGCCAACCACCTGCCCATTAATCTTAATGATGTCACACGATATTTCAAATCAATAAATCCCTAAAAGTATTTGTTTCCCTGAAAAAATAAAAAATACATATGTTTAATGTTTTAAAATAACGTAGGTACCAAACGTACCTTATAATAAAAATTAGACTAATATTCCAGTGCACATTTTCTATTTATGAGGATGTCAGGTCGTTTTTTTAAGGGGGGAAAATCATCGAATGGCTGCTCCCGCCTGGGTGAGGCCGGAGGGAGTGTTAGACTCTTACTGACTAAAAACCACCCCGATCCTTCTCCTGCACGTCGAGCCAGAGCCCCGGTAACCCGTTAGGTTCTCCGCGACAGGATGTCATGTCTAGAAGCCTATTTAAAAATAAATAATAAAATTATGATTGTTTATTGAGAACAAACAGAAAAATTGGTTACATACAAACTTATTTGAAAATAATATTTATTATCTAAGAAATACAACAGTTCAGTCTTTTAAAGGGACTCTTTTGTATATTTTACTCTCCATTAAAGTTAAAAATATAATCTGAATCTTTTAAAACGAACAAGATAATATAATAAATGAAGTGCACACATAGATCAGTATTTCTCATTTATTTACAGTAATTGTTAGATTTATTACAAATTTTTCGTAGTATCGATTGAATCGACTTCGAACATCACTATAAGTAAATGCGACGCTTATGTCAACGTCAAAGGACGACGTTGAAAGAAAAATCAATGATGGTAACAAAATGGCCGTTGTGCGACCATTTATAATACAAAGTTATTTGACTTTGAATTCACTGTAGATTGTTGTACAAATTATTGGAATAAGTAATTTCTTATTTTATGTGACAAATTATTTGATTTGACAATATGGCTTGGCCGATGCCCACTGCAGGTCAATGGGGCTCGGGTATAGCGATGACCCCTGAAATAAATATGGCTAACATGGGATCGTATACAGCAGAGCAATGGGCTGTAATGCAGCAACAAAATTGGCAGCAATGGACGCAGTGGCAACAACAATATGCCCAATGGCATGGCCAGTATGGTGACAAGGTACCTACTGTTTTACTAGTGTGGTAGAGTAATGCATGTCATGTGGTTTTTGTTATTTATGCTTATGCATTTTTATTTTTAATAGTTCTTGTTGTGTACTAAGGATATCCATCTTATGTTGTTGATTGAATTAATTGTAGTATGTGGAGCAGATGCAAGCTCTCCAAGCTATGGGGGGAATGCCTCCTCTACCGACGACTAACGTTGCTCCACCGCCTGCACCGCCGCCACCTGATCAGCCGCCTCCGCCTCCCCATGAGAACAACCAACCACTTTTTGGAAACACCTCCAAGCCTACACCTGTCCCCGCACCAGGAGCCAATCAACAAAGAAACAATAATTCTGGTAATAATGTCAATATTAATGTACATAATCAGGCAGGCAGTAATGCCAATTGGACACAAGGTACAGAGTCAGCTCAAGCAGGACAAACTACAGTCAATGCTGATGCTTTGAAGAAACTAGCTGAAGAAGAGAGACTATTTGACATTCAGTTTCAGAAATGGGAAGAGGAGATTGAGAAATGGAAGAAGGATAATGTGAATCACCCTGATAAACAGGCGTACAAAGAATATGAGCAAAAGTTTGAATCGTGTCGAGCACAGCTCATGGAACGACGTCTACAGATGAAACAAAAAAGGGCACGACTTATGGGAACCAATCCTCCCACTCAACCAGAACCTCCAACTCCAAGTACTACAGCTGCTAAAGTGGTTACACCAACAGTAAATGCTAGTTTAAATACTACAAATATTAATGCATTTCCATCTAAACAAACACAAAATTATGGTAATAATTTACAGAATTATGCTAACAATAACATACAGAGTTATAGTACTAATAATAGTTCACATAATTATAGCAATAATTCTCAGAATTATAACAATAATCAACAGAATTATAACAATAATCAACAGAACTATGGCAATAATCAGCAGCATTATGGCAGTCATCAACAAAGCTATGGCAGTCAGCAAATGAATTATCCTAACACTCCTCAAAATTATGGAAATAATTCACACAAGTATGGTAAAAATGCACAGAATTATGGTAATAATTTACAGAATTATAATAACTCTTCCCAAAACTACACTGATAAAAGTGCTCATTACCAGGATGACCAATATAAAGGACCCAATACTAATAACAATATGGGTAATAGTAATAAAAATGTTGACCCACAGGACAGATTTGAATCCTATCAGACTATGGGAGAAACTGATTACCAAGGAAATACTAATTTTTCCACTCCAACGCCTACTAGTAGTAGCAGTTTTCTGCCTACTAGTGGAGACAATAAAGGAATCCCTGGATTGGATTTGGTCCCAGAGACTGATAAACCACATGTTAGAAATACCAATGATGAGGTTATAGATATTTCAAATGATAAATCGAACCCAGGATCAGATTCAAAAGCTCCTGATTACACCACCATTTCCAAGGGAATTAATAATATTCTAGGTGACGAAAAAATTATGAATATTCTTTCAATGGTTCGTGGGCAAACTGCTCAAAGTCCTGCTACCACGGGTCCTCCGAATGTGAATCCTCCTAGTGGCCAGTACAACTCCAATGTTCAAAACAATGCACCATATGGTCATGGCAATAGAAATCTTAGTAACCAGAACTACAATAATCAACAATTTGATGATAATAGACAAAATATGTCATACAACCGACCTGGGCAAAATTATTTAGGGCACCATCAGGATCATTCTAATTTTCCGCCTCCTAACAGAATGCATGAGGAAATACCCCAAGATCAATATGATTACGATAATGATAGAAATATACAATATAGTGGGAATGACATTAGGCCTCCATATCAAAATAATGCACCCCTTCGGGGTCATGCGCCCATTCGGCCTAATATGTCTGCGCCCAGACCACCATTACGCCCCTTAATGTCCAATTTGTCTGATCACCCTATGGGTAATCAAGGGCTACCCGAGAGGAAGCCTTTACTTGAACATCCTGTTCCCAAGCCACCTGTTAGACCACAGTGGTTAGATGAACCAATGTTTACACCATCTCTGATTGTGGAATACGAGCACAAGCCTCTTCGATTAAAAGGTAAGAAAAACTAACTTATTGTTTTATATGAAATGAAACTTTGTATTACAATTATTGTTAATAATAATATAATAAATAATCGTTTGGTCACATTTTAGCTCGAGATTTTATAGAGCCTGTCCACACATTTCATTACAATCATAAATCTAAAGATGGAGAGGTCAGGAAGAAAGATTTCGAAAAAGAAGTGGATGAATTGTTTCAAAAAAAACCTACGAGATCAGATGCCGAAAATGATTATGGCAAGGAAAGATATAGCCGTGACCACTATTCCAGAGATTTCGAACGAAGAGCACCTAGATATGACGTTGATTTACTAGATGAGATTCGGCCTAGGGGTCCACCTAGAAGCGAGTATGATGATAGGAGACGAGATAGATATGATGACAGAAGAAGAGATGATCGCGAGGACGACAGAAGGAGAGATGACCGCGAGGACGATAGAAGGAGAGATGACCGCGAAGACGATAGAAGGAGAGATGATCGTGATAAGTATCTTCGGCGCGAGGATTCCTTCAGAGACAGGGATAGAGAATATAGAGATCGTGATTTGGGTAGAGAAAGCAGAAGAGAAGAAGGTAGATACCGCAGCCGAAGTCGTGACAGAGATTCGCGCAAAAGAGGATTAAGTAAAGAAAGTGACAGTGGAAAGCACTATTCTAAAAAACCAAGAGATAAAGATGAATCTTTATCAGGTGCATCTTCATCTAAACACATTGTAATG